CTATTTTGTTTTGGGTTTTCATATTAAATTCTCCTAAAATTCACAAACGTTTGTGGTTGTAATGCAGCAGGTTCTCCTGTTACTCATTGTATAAACACAGAATATCTTCATTAATAAAACCCTAATATTAATGTTCACAAAGAGTGAGAAAAAGGTGTTAACATTTCCTTTTTGTGCAATCAGGTTGCTCAAAAGCTGGAAGATAGTTTGAGTCCATTGCTGCTCACTTTATGAACCATCCATAGTTTTCAGTTGCCTGTTCAAGTTTGCGAAGGAATCTCCTTACCTTCACCACCTTCTGCTTCCTGTTTGGAGGCTCTCTGGCTAAGCTCAGCTCAGTAGTTCACTGGTGTTATGCTAATCTTTGTTGACCTCTGCAACACCAAAAACCTCATAGATCTGTAAATAGGATCCATTTCTAACTCCTCATTGGTCAAGTTGGGTTTGTTCAATGTCCACAAGTTAATCTCAGAATTTATTAGTGTCTCAGGTAAAGATTGTGATCGAATGCTCTGCATTATGCTTTGTTTTTTTTTTTGGTTTTTTTGTTTTTTTTTTCTTTCTTTTTTCTTACTAACTGCTGATCTTAAAAGCTTTACACTTGTCGAATCCCACAGTGCCAGGCTACATCCTGCCCATCAGTGTCTTTGCGAGTCTCTGTGACACTTTATCCACAGGATAATTTGTCATTTAGTATTCAGTGCATCAATGTGGCACATTCACAGTAGTTAGCGTTGCTTGCACTTAAGCAGCAATATCAATGAGTCATCACCCCTCAAATAATGTGCCTCAGTCTGTGTGAGTCAGAAGCAACAAAGTGGATAATTTGACTGTTGGAAACTGATCAATAGTTAATGACACGATGAGTGAGAGGGTTTCACTGGAGCTGTTTACAAAGCCAAGCATTATCCAAATCTTCAAAAGCCAGTGTTAGTTGCACAAATACATACATACATATATAGATTATAATGCTTTACAGTGTAAAGCAACCCCTACCTTCAGCAATGGTACAGAAGAATGACAAAGTTACCTATTTTAACTGAGTCACACAAACTAGTTGCTTTATTAAGTAAGTTAAGTAAGTTATTAGTCTGAGGTTGAACCCTGTTTGCCTTATGAACTACAGTAACTCTTAATAACATAGATTCAATGAGGTGTCACAAATATTCTAGAGATTGTAGGGATCAATCCTGACAGGATAGCAACATGCAGTTGCTTTCTTGACAGCTGCGTATTTATGATACCAGTCTCCTGCTGCACCACATCTTAAAGATCAGTCGGGTTGAGCTGTGATGACTGTAGAGGCCATTGGAGTACAGTTAAAACACTGCTATGGTAAAAAATAAATAAATAAATAAATAAATAAATCAGCTTGAGAGTATTTGAGCTTTGAGACATAGTGCATTATCCTTCCTGAAACTGTACAAATTCACTATGGTCGTCTGTGATGTTAAATGGAAGGAAATGGAGAAGAAAAAAAAACTGCAATCTATTCATCAAGTATGCAGTGAATATATCCACAGGGCAGGCACAAGACCAGCTGAGATACTCAATATCCCAAAGTCCTCCACGGTATGAAGAGTCAAGCAAAGATGCCTCAAGAGAAGACTGACAGAACCCCTGAATAAAGGGGCTAATTTTTTAGCACGAGTTAGATTTCAATTTGTTTTCATTTTGGACCCCTTAATAATTCAACTTTTTGAGCCATAAGCAGAAAACCGCAAGCACAAAGTTATTAAGTCAGAACTACAGCTGAGTCCAGTTATCCTATTAAAGGTATATTTGCAGTTTGCAAACAGAGCATTTAAGCTTCGCCCCTTTCCACACTATCTGAGAGAATCAGCCTGCTGCAAATTGCACAACGCGGCAGCAGATTAGAGAAATACAACAAAGTTCACCAATAAAGTCGTTCACAGATTGTTGTACATCAACAACATCTTAGTTCTTAAACAAATGCATACTCTCAATCAACCCTGTGGGAAGGAGTAACATTTGCAGACGATGCCAGACTGTCAGCTTTGTGTGTGCTTTGTTGCATGTGCACAACAGAGATATTGCCTGAAGGCTTGTGAATGGCTGTAAACATACACAGAGCATTTGCGAATAATTAAGACTGGAGTTGCAGCTTGTCACATGCAATTTCTGTAAATTATAGACATCTCTTATCCTAATGGGGAATAACATTTCACCATTTGTCCTATTATGTGCACACAGGGGTGTTTGCTGTGCAGCTGCAATGTAAAACTCAACTAAAACACACAACGATGCACGAGCTTTCTGGCTGCACTAATCTGCCAGCATTGGACCAGAAATAAAATCCATTACAGTCTGTACACATAATTCACATGCCCCAAAGCTGGCATGAGAGTTTGTGCCTAGTGCAGATGTCCACACAAAGAAAGAAAAATAGCAATTTGAACAAATACATGTTTTAGTTTCACATACTCGGTAGTTGGCTGGTGTTTCCACACTCTCACAGAAATTCTGCACACAATCTGGTGCTAAAAACACCCTGAGCAGCAAAAGAGACAGAAGCGAGTTAAATGAAAGCAAATCAAGCTATTGACGATTAAAGGAGGCAGGCCTCATGTAAAATTAGCTTTTGTTGAAAATAAGATAGCAAAAATGTAAGGTTTTTTTGTTTGTTTGTTTGTTTGTTTTTGCATTGTTGCTTTCCTGCTTGTCTTAAAATTTTTAAAATGGGTTCTGAGCCAAGAACTAGGGTACTGGCACTAGAAACATTAAAGAACAAAAAGCATCATGAAGAGGGACGGCACTAGTACAAATCACCAGGGACACTTTGAGGAAGGGACGGTTTCATTTATTTTATTTACTGCAGAGTTCCAACTGGAAGATCAAATAAATCACAAAGATTCAGTTTAGTTTAGTGATTTTGATTTCATTCCCTTGCAGAAAAGTAATCCTTTTTGTTGGTGACCAGAAAGAAGCAAATTTGATCTAAAAACCATTCATCAAATTTCCACAGCACAAACTACACTGCAAGTATGATTGTTTATTTGCTGCACACTGTTACATAAGATGTAGCCTTGAATGTTATCCAGTGTTTTCTGATAAGAGTGGCTCGAAGTGGAGACAGCCAGACTGCGTTCATATCCTGGCAGACAGTTGTTTCATAATACTCTGACACCACCAAAACAGTGGTGTCTGCGGCGATTGCGCTCAGATTCCTGAAGCCTGAGCTCGGCTGCTAACTTCACGCCCCTGTGGGTGCTGTTTGTGATACAGGGCGAGGCCTCCGGAGGGGAACAGGTGAAAGGGTAACCTGATCCCAACAGCTGACGCAGCAGCATACTGTCTGTGTACACAACCAGTTGTGTTGGAGTAACATTAACTGTGTCAGTGGCACAACCAGTTTGAATAATTCATGACTTGACACGACTCTCAGAGCTACTATTGTCACGAAACTGCAACGGTGTCAAGGCAAGCAGAAAGCTAAACTTCACCAAATTTGTGACGTAGTATTAAAAGTTTTCTGTTTTAACTGAACCCAGGGGATCTTTTTTTTTTTTTTTACATTTAGTTGTTAAAAGTGACCTTTTAACAACTTTTAATTGTATCTTTGTAATATGATGTACTGAACTCTACTGCCAACCCATGATCTTTCCGTCTTATTACCTTCCTCTTTCACACATCTGGAATCAGAACCTCCACAGTGGAACTGCTTATGGGCTATTGTGAGCCACGAGTGCACAGGAGACAGATGATTAAAAACCAAATTAACTTTCTTTCAGAGTGACTCTTGAGCCATCGTGTTCGTACGAGTTTCAGATACTTGCCCGCTTAAATGAGCTGGCGTGGCTGAGACATCTTTGAAGGTGTTATTGTTGAAGTGCATAGGCTGCTGGATCCAGTTCAAATTAATCTGTACTGAGAGATCCTGCTGCCATCTTAACACTGATGCTCCTTCAGCACCATGATCATGCCTGTTTGTTGGTTTGCTCAGAAGATAACCGACCTTTATAATGTCACATTATACAACCTAGTTGTGTAACATCAAAATGAAAAAAAAAAAAAAAAGGCAACAGTCAATAAAATAAGGCATATAATATTGCATAGCACCTTGACATCTATTCTGAGGAACATGGTGGTGGAAACGTTATGCTGTTGGGGACAGAGAAGCTGGTCAGAGTAGTTTGGAAGATGGATGAAAGAAATACAGAACAATCCTGGTAAAATAAATAAATAAATAAATAAATGTGTTAGAGACTAAAAATGACTTGAGGCTGGTGCAGAGGTGTACCATAAAACCAGAGCAACAGTACATCGTTAAAATCAAAGAATGTTCATGAATTATAATGGTCCAGTCAAAGTACTGACCTAAATAAAGGTGAAAGTTAAAAATCTGCAGCAAAAAAAAAAAAAAAATCACAGAAGCATTCCATGTAATCAGGCTGAGCTAAAGCTATTTTGCAAAGAAGCATGGGCAGAAATTTCAGTCCATAGATGTGCAAAGCTGATACTTTCTTAATACTTTCTTTCTGCTGTATTTGCAGCAAAAGATGCTTCTAGACAACACAACACTTTTCATATTTTAATTTGTAAAACATTTTAAAATCCATGTTTAATTTTCCTGCACAATATTACAATGTTGAAGTGTTTACACAGCTTTGAGTTGGGAACCAAGTAAACTCCAAGTTACTCCCAATGGCAACACATAGCACTTAGGATGGGACTGTATCCATTTTATTAGTGACCTGGAAGTCAATCCTTTTATTCTCCGTCGAACTCTAAATGGAAACAAAGAATATGTGCATGATGTGACAAAAGCACAACAAAGAAAAAAATTATTCATTAGGAAATCAGGGAAACGTTAAGGAAGAAAAGGACGCCTATTGGTCTCTGACATCCACTCTGTGACACAGATACGTATTGCGCTTTTACAGAAAATATCTGAAAAAAAAAAACACAGAGAAAAATAGGGAACTTTCTTAGAGGAAAATGTACCCTGGTATTAACTTTGCTTGCTTATTTCTGTGCAGAGAGCCTGACATCCCTGCATGGGCTCCACTACTCTACCAACTGCAGCTGCTGGACATCAGAGACAAACCGGACCCGGAAACTCTGCCCATCGCCGACCGCATCCGCGTTGGCAACCAGAAGAGAGAGCGAGGAAACTTTCATTTCCAGAGAGAGGAGTACAGCCTGGCTGCCAGAGCTTATTATGTAGCTCTGGAGGTGCTGACCACACACAGCCAAGGTAGCACTGATTTAATCCTGAGGTATTTCTATACTGCTGGCTACATCAAGGGCATGTGAACAAACACTGCAGGTATAGAATGTCATCTGACAGGAGTGCTCCACCAATCACGCTAATCGCAGCGTCTCCATGCACGGCTGCGTCCATCTGTGCTGAGCGCCGCCGTAAATGCTTTCACTTAATTCTTTTGCATGATCAAAGACAATCAACTTTCCCACCATTTCAACCTCCTTAATCACGCTAATCATCGACGAGGCAGAGAAAGCCCGAGGGAGAAATGTGGCTGAATAAGACGAAGTAAAAACATCAGCTGCCTCATAATGAATCAATAAGAGCGAAGAGACGAGTTTATTCAGATCATACAGATATTGTAATCAGTCAAAGAGAAGATGAAGAATTAAACTGGAGAAATGCAAATGTTCTTATATTTACAGGTCTAGCAGAATTTTAAATGATTTGAATCCAACTTTAAGTGTTCAAAAGCAAACAGCAGAACAGATGTATTCATACAGAGATTAAATTACGCACAGGGGTAACATTAGAAACGTTCTGTTTCTCATGCTAAAATCATCCATAGAACAGTTTTTAAAAATAAAAAAAAGCAAGCTGTTATTTACTGAGTGAAAAAAGTACCACATTTGTCTTTATCCATCTATTCCGCCTTGAGGAAAGAAAATCTAAATCATGTGCAGCTTTTATTTTAGTGGCAGGACACAAACAACTTGTGGAAGTAGTGTCAACTATTTTGCTCCTAACAACACAAAGTCAAAACTAGACATTCCAGAAAAATAAATTTAAAAAATCAACACATTGAAGACAAATGGCTAAAATCGGCATTAAGGTTAAACTTGGTGCACATAAACCATTCATGAACTGCTTGGATTTGTGATCCAACAAGTCAAGAGTGCAGAGTAAAATGTTTTTGTGTGAACAAATCTTCATTTTTTTGGTCAATACCTTTTTCGGTTAGATGTTTGGGTCTGGTACAGACACCACGCAGGAGAAGGAATACTATAACCAGCTGAATTGAAAAGCAGAGCATGAACCACAGGGAATTGTTCCGTGAAATTTGCGTTTTTAAAATAAGGATTTAAAAAAAAAAAATAAAATAAAATAAAATAATAATAATAATAATAATAATAATAATAATAATAATAATCCCTCCCAAGATTATTTATGCAACTACTTTTTTCTCCTCCATTTGTTTTTTTTCTTTTTTCTTTTTTGGTTTATAACAAAATGAAATCAATCCAGTATCAAGTGCATGGGAGCATGCAGTGAGCTACATGCCAGTATCTGTGCAGATGGCAACGATGTTGGCATGAAGGAGGAGGAGGAAGAGGTGCGGGAATACCGGGTGAAGTGTCTGAACAACCTGGCCACCGCTCAGCTCAGACTGGAGCAGTTCGACGAGGCACTGCACACCAGCCGGGACGTCCTGACCCTCCAGCCCAACAACGTCAAGGCTCTTTTCAGGACCGGAAAGGTGAGGGTCACGTTATCACCGAGAGATGTAATAAAACATCTCACCCAATCTCTAATAGTGACCTACACGTGGCGTTCTTTGAAGGAGGAGAAAAATGTGTTATCCTGTGTTAGATATTGTTTTGAGGGAAAATGATATTGGGACATAATTACTTTAATTTATGGGTATTCTAGAAGTGCTCAAGCTCCAGGTCTTCTAATCTCTTTCAGCTGCTGTCAGATAAGGGCGAATACAAAGAGGCCATGGAGGTGCTAAAACAGGCCTTGAAACTGGAGCCAACCACCAAGGTGAGATCATGTGGCTGAGATGATACTCCCTATTTTTGCGTTCCTTCCTAATCTGCCAGTAAGTTGTCCGCAATGACATGCTGTTATCATATGCAGCGTATTGCATGTAAAGCCCATATAACTTTATCCTTCCACTTCACAACTCAGCACAACTTTGTGTTGGGATATTCAAGAGATCTGCAACTTGTAGCTACAAAGCCACAAATGGCTCTGTAGGCCCTCCTGTGGCTCATTAAAAGGTTTGGCCAGACATGATAACCAAGCAGTTTTTTTCTTCATATGAGTTTAATTAAAAAAAAAAAAAAAAAGAAAAGAAAAAAAAAAAAAACTGTTTCAGCATTTTTTTTGTGTTTTGGTACAAAACCGTTAAGATTTATGCTTTTTTTGTTATCAAACTTAAACACTGAAACAATTTTTTTTTTTTTTGTTTTTTTTATTTATTTAACTAAGTAAGCTAACTTTCTGGTCAGGATTTGTGAAAAAAACAAAAACAAAAACAAAACAATAACTCATTTTTTCCAAAGAGCCCTGTAGTTTTTTTTTTTTGTCAGTTCTAGACAAATTTCACTAACCAGGACTGAGGGAAAATCGGTAACACTTTATTTGAAGTGGTGTGCAGAAGACTGACATGACACTGTCATAAACATGACATAATACCCGTCATGAACATAAATAAGTCTTTATGAATGTTTATGAATGCTGTCATGAAGTGTCATTTGGTAAATAATGACACTTTTAATGCAAAGTTGCTCTCAAAGTTGCATTAAAAGTCCATTAAAAGTGCCAACCTTGCATGATTTTGTAAATTATGATAATTGAATGTCAGTCTTATGCACACCCCTTCAAATAAAGTGTTACCGGAAAATCTAAGGTTAAGAAATATTTTTTTAAAATCTGTTTCAGTCATTAATTTCAGCTACAGAACACACTTTTTACAGAGTAATAAAGATTGCTTTTCACAAATTATTTTTTGCACAGTCTGAAAATCCAGTTTGAAATGGCTGTGTGGTCTGTACTCTGTTTACAAAATCCCACTGCCGGTAATACAGCGACCTGACACAGAGGACAAGCTGCCACATTCACCAATATATCTGGACTTGCCCAGACGGGTCAGAAATATCTGCTGCTTTGGGAATTATACCTGTAAGCAGAAGAGTGAAGAAATTCTTTGAGGAAACTTTCATTTTGCTGCTTGAAAGAAGTTAGTGGGTTTTGTATTTTATCAGTTTAAACGTCACCTTCACCTTGTCTTTTTTTTTAAATATAATACAATTTCACAACCCCGCCTCCCATCATTTGCGGTAACACATTGCTATGATGGGGTGTTGTGTGTGGAAGTTTGAGGAGAGAGTCATTTTTTTTTTTACAATCTCAAATAAGGTTGTGACATAAAATGTGGAAAAAGTGAAGTGCTGTCAACACATTACTTATGCACTGTATAATTTTAAAGTTTTCTTAAAGACATTTTCTTCTGTACACTTAGGCAATCCATGCAGAATTGTCCAAACTTGTCAAACAACAATCGGGAGGCAAAGATACGCAACAGTGGAGAGTCAAACCAGCAAAGGTGCTCGGAGATGATATCACACCATTCCTTATTCCTTCTAAGAAAAAGTCTTCAGTAAGCCATTAAATAGAAACCAGATATTTACATCTGCTGTGTAAGAAGATGCCCCTGTGACAGACTGTTGATGCCTCTCACACAGGCAAGAATAAGAGGATAATTGAAATGGAGACACAAACTTATGTTCTGTGTTAGTTAGGATTACTAATATTTCTTTACATTTGCTAAATGCCATAATTTTTTTTGTATTACTTATTTCAAATGTATAAGTTTATGAGCTCTGAGAACACCATGGCTCCAATAATATATATATTTTTTAAAAGTAAGCATAAACACCATGGGAATCGCCAGTGATCATGTGTGGATCAAGCCCAGACGAAATTTTAAAGCTGAATTAGTTAAAGTCACTGCTTTGCAGTGGCTGTCAGAAAGCCCTGCTCTCTGCTCCTGCTGTGGGGAGATTTGGAAAGGCGAGTGTGGGCAATAAACCTGATTCGGTTACATAAGTTCTGTCTGGAGCACTGGGCCAAAAGTCCACGAGACTATTGTGAAAGGATTTTCAAAGGATACCCAAAACATTGGCGCAAAACCAATTAAGTAAAATACAAAATTTGAAAAAAAAATAAAGTTGTAAATGATATTCTCACTCATTCTGGCATTTGGCAAATAGAAGTCACAGTAATCATTACATAAAAAAAAAAAAAAAAGATTTAATGTGAAGAAACCAAAAAGAGAAAAAATACAGATCGGTGTCTTTTTATATAGTGTATGTAAATATCTGGCTTTAATTGTACTCAACCCAATCATTTCATTTGATACTATGATAAATTAATCATATTCATATCACTCCCTTCTTATGTTTCCAGGGACTTTCCTGGAAGTTCATCCTGGGAGCTCTGGTGGTGGCCTTGGGCAGCTTGGTGACGTCTGTGATTATGACCGCAAGAAACTAAAAATCCTCAGCAGGAAGGAAAAAAATATGCGATTCACTGGAGCTGATCGATTTCCAGTTGTCTTCCAGCAGGTCCCCACCGTATGAGCGGCACAGCCGGGAAGAAAACTGAACTTGAGCTTTGAATGTTTTTACTGAAAAGTGGATTTTTAGAAGAGAGTCAGTTGATAAGTTTATAAAAGTTGTTTGCAGTCAGTTTTATTTGGGGAAGGGGTTGCCTTTATTTTTGCTTACAAACATGCTTTAAAAAGTGTAAAAAAAAAACCCCCCAACAAACTCAGTAAAATAGCTCAAAATTACATTTGATCAACGCTCCACAAAGTTCATATGTTAAAATATATTTCACCATAAAATATTGAAGGAGATGCTGGTAAATGTAATCCTCTAAACAAATACATCTCTGTTAGCATTACAGTCCCGATTCCAGAGGGATATTTAAACAAAAACATTTGACAAACTCTTAAAAATTATTAAATATATTTAGGCTAAATCCTAATTCTGGTAATAATACTTATCCATTTCCAAATAAATATAAAAGCTTAAATATTTTCGGCAAAATACATGATGTGAATTTGTATTTGTACATGTGCAGTTTACTACAAAAACCTTCATTTTGACCAAAGAGTAACCCTTCACTATGTTTACAGTTAAGAGGTGAAATAGAATAAAGTAAAAACAAAAGTAAACAAGCTTAATGTTGTTCCTTTTTGAGATACAAGCAGCGCGATATCCTTCATTGTTCTGTCCTCATGTTTACAGTCCACAGCAACCTTTAACCACCTTCTTCTGGAGGGTCTTGTTCAACATGATCCGAGATTCTGACTCCCACCTCAATTTGCCATTTTTCTTTATTTCTCTGTAGAAACAAAGAAAGACACAGGCCCATCTCTCAATATGCTACAGTTACTTTTAAAACAGGCATTTTTGCAGGCAACTTTCCTACCGCGCTAGATGAAGCACAGCTTCAACAATGTTGGCTCCTTCTTTGGCACTCGTCTCACAGAACATGGCGCCGTACGCCTGCAAAGCGAAGACAAAGCAAAGCGTCAACATTCCCGACTGCAGACTGTTTACTCCGACACCTCGAGGGCTGAACATCTTTATAAAACAATCATTCATGTGGTGAAAGTAACACCTGGGCCAGCTTTTCTCCGTGTGAGCTGCAAACGCAGCTTCCTTCAGGAAGTTGCTCCCGGAGGTCCACCTTGTTTCCAACAACACAAAAAGGAATTTTTTCATCTACGGACTCCTTAAAGAAAAAAAAAAACACAGAAGAAGACGTACAGTACGTATTACAACCATCTGTGAGATGCATTTAATGTCTCATCAGAGCCGTGGTTACCTGAATTTGATCTATCCACTCTCTGACGTTCAGGAAGCTCTTTTCTGAGGTAACATCATAAAGCAGCAGGACTCCATGAGCTTTACGGAAAAAGGATTTGGCAATGCTACGGAACCTACAGTAAAAGGAAGCACAGCTCTTTTTAAGCAAAGTGCATCTTGTCAATGTTTACACATTTACAGTGATGCAATCCATTATTTCCATGTCGCTACCATCTTGAAACTTCTTTCTAGGAAGCGGTGTACCTTTCCTGACCGGCCGTGTCCCATATCTCCAGACTCATCGTCTCTCCATCCACCTGCAACTTCTTCATCTGGAAATCAATACCTGGGTGCAGAAATGTATAATTTTAAAATATCTGAAGTCAGGAATTCACAGCTGTGAGATTAATTTTTTAACAAATTTATTTAAAACGGGATGAGATGGGGAAAAAGTGAAGCAGGTAGCATCTCTCTGGATAAAACAATTCAACACAGACTCCTTTTTCAGGGTATTTCCAGTGTGCTTGTAAGTAAAAAAAAACAACAAAAAAAAAAACACTTGTGTATGTGAAGGCAGCATATTTACGGTTACCTACCCAACGTTGTCTGAATGTCTGCTCTAAATTCATTGAGTGTCAAGCGCAACAGAAAACTGGACTTTCCAGCTCCTGCATCTCCTGCTAAAACAACACGGTACACTGGTGAAGGTCCTTCTGTCACTGTGACGCTGTCCCCTACCTGCTGCAAAGAGAGTCACAAAGAAAATTAGGAATACGAGATCACATATGGATCCAATAAATAAATAAACGTATTATTAATTCATTATTTCTATAGCTGGATCAAAGATTCTGTGAATTCTTAATTAGTAATGCACAACCACTAAGTAAGGCCCTTTTCTTTTAGCCGCTGGCCAATGACTGTCTTATTGCAACATGTAGCAGAATATAAAGAGGGAGAGAAAAAAAGTTGACAAAAAGGTATGAGATAACTCCTGCACTAATGAAATCAGAACTTATTTAATTAATTAGAATTCCAACAAATTGGTCTATGTCCATGTTGTTGCCCGTTTGTAAGATATCATGAATCTTACAACTTTTTTTTTTTTTTTTTTAACCTTGGTGGGAAAGGCAGACAGGGGCTTTCGCAGGGATGAAGAGATGGAGCTGGATTGGCTGGGAGCTACAGAGACTGCAGCCTCGGACCGGACCTCTGATATCTGCAACAACCAGAATAAATACCATTTTAAAAGGTTCTGGCAGAATAAAAACTGTTGCCGTTTTTAATCGATCCTGCTCCGTTCCCCCCCACTCCCCCACCTCTACATCTGACAGCATGGACGAGTAACTGTGGTGCACGGTTTCCAAAGAGCTCATGCTGTCGTCAGAATCATAGTCAATGGCTGAGTTCTCAACCGTGTCCATTGGCAAGCCGCTATCCAGGTACCGGTCAGCCCAGGTGGACACACGGGAGATGCTGGGGTTCTGCTCGGATCTGCACACACACACACACACACACACACACACACATATCAGATTATTGTTGTGACAATTGATCTTCCCAGTGATGAGTCCGAGTTGTCATGCAGGTGAGCACAGGAACTCCATCTACCTGCCATGATTGAGTGTGCTCTGTCGAATAGGTTTCATTCTCCTGGCAGGGATTTCGTCTTGAGGAGACAGCTGTTGAGTGGATTAGAAACATTTTATTTTACTTGTGCACTTAACAGAACATTGAGGTTCTTTCTGACAATGCCAGCAGGTATGAGGAAACATAGCTGAGCAAACAAGGAACTCACCCTCCTTTTAGCTGCAACCATCTGACTGGCTAAAGCTGAACGCAGTCCGTCATTACTGTCATAAAGCTTCTTGTTCATTTCCCTGATGATGTGTTCAAGAAAGTACAAGAGCATATAGTCAATATTCACACAGTTCCTCGAGGAAAACATCAAGTTGTTCCTCATTCTGTAATTTCTCTTTAGCTTTCATTTCTTTCAAAGTCGTTATTTTCGCATTTGATTGTCATTTTTTTCTTCTTATGGATTTGAGTTATAATATCATATAGGCTCATTAGCAGCCCGTTACAAAATAAGTCCAGCTTGTTCCTTTTTTAAATAAAACAATCAAGTTCATTTCGGCAACAAAACAATTTAAAGTTCATTTAATTATTGACTTCAGTGTCAGAAGACACAGAAGTCAATAACTGAGAAAACGAGTATACATTATATTTTGTCAAGGGCCATCATTACACATCAATACAAACATAACTGAGATTTCAGTAAGTATTTAGTACAAAATGCTTACTTTTTTTTTTCAGAATAACCACAAGAAGCACTCATGTAGCAGCCACACTAGCAAGAGAGCCTGTCGAATAGACTACCTGCTGTACAAACAAGCTGGTAAGGGCACACCTTACAGCCACATATTCACTCTAAACAGATCAACAAGAAGAGCAGAAACCAATCTTATACAGTGCAAATATGCTCTTCGTGTATAAACAGAAGTTGGATTGGAGTGACTCAGTCTCAGACCTACAATTCAATATTGTACAAATAACAGCCAGCACTATATTGCCAAAAGTATTTGGCAATATTTGCCTGGACTCAAATAGAGCTTAAGTGACTTGCGTGGTTCATCACGAAAATCTCCATAGACTCCAAATGATACAGAATATAGCTGCTTGGGTCATGTTTGTTTTTTCCCCCCCAATAAGCATATTAATTCTGTCCACAAACAACTACATAAACTTTCTGTGAATTACTGTGTTGATTTTAAATTTCTTCCTCACAGTTTCAGGTCTCGTCACAACTTTGCACCTCCACATCTCTCTGATCTTCTGCATATTGTGACTTTTTCACAGACTTTAAGATCCACACTGTCCATTTCCCTCACTGTACCTGGATACTACAAGCTATAGAGGTTTGAACCAAGCGGCTCTTCACCTTAGGATTACTCTCCACCATGATATTTTGCAAAATTGATTGCTTCTCTATTTTTAAAGTCATTTTAATTTTGTTACAGTTGCTTAAAAAGTTTGATTTTTTATTGTTGACCTTTGATATCTAAATCTTATCTATTCTATACAATAATAATCATCTTTTTTTTTTTTTTTTTGCATTCTTCATTAGGCCATCCAAAACAAGAAATATGATCAAGGTGGACTCACTGGAGGACCTGAATGTGGTTAGAGTACGACTGATATTCTGTCACCATCTTTTTTAATACTTCTGTTTCTCTGTGAAGAAAAAAAAAATAACAATTACACACTTTCATTCCATAAAGCAATGGAACAAAATGTATTAATTTAACCAGAAAAAACAACAAAAACAACAAACTTTACCTTTCATGCTGGGCTTTCTGCTCTTCAAACATGTTCTTCAGCTTGTCCAGCTCAGAGTGGAGTACAGCCATGTTTGTCTGGTTTTGCACCAGAGAACTTCGCAACTGCTCATTTTCCTGCACAAAGACGCACTTTTAAGCAATTTAACCCAAAGTGCATGTGATATAATTGACTTGGAATCCAGATGCCTTACCTGCAATAGATCACTGATCTGCTTGTTCAGTTTGATCACCTCGTCTTTAGCGTGGTTTAGTTCAGAGCTCTCCTGGTTCTCCAAATTAAAGCCACATAAACATTTTGTTAGACAGCTGAAACACGTTTCTGTTGCTAGTTTTAGTTAACATTTCACATATTGTCAAATACTACAACAGGAGAATGAGGGAAAATTTTAATTGTATATACTAGGCACCATTACTTGTAAGTCTAACATAATGACGCAAGAATGAAGAGTGGGATCGCCGTTTACGGATTTCCCCAAACGCATGTTTGGCTTAGGTTTAAAATAAATCTCTTGAAATTAAAGAGTGCACACATTCTACTCATCACTGTGAGCAGCATTAACCAGTAATCCTGCTTACAAGGAAGAGCTGGTGT